TATGTAGGTTGGATTACAACCTGACTCTGAATAAGCAAAATGACACAGTATCCTAAACTAATTTTAATCCAGGATAAACATAAATGCATAGAGTCATGGATTATTTGTGGAAGTGATACCTTAGTACAGAATAATTTGTTAGGCTATCAGGTCTCTTTTTCTAGGTAAGTGGATGTTAAAGAATCATTTTATACTTTATACTTAAAAAAATAATGGTCACCATCTATATGTCTGGACTCTGTATGATAGTGTTGGTGAAGCTTTTTGGGAGTGTGCATGCATGCCGAAAACTGGAACAGCAGCTGTCTGGTGTGCATGTGTGCATAGGGAAGATGATCTTCCAGTTTCTGGCACACACATGAACACTGACCACCTGATTTTCTGGTTTCTGGTGTGCATGTGTGCGTGAAGACCAGCTGGCCAATGGGCATGCATGTGCCAGAAACTGGAAGATCATCTTAACAGGACGCACATGTGCATCAGGTGGCTGTTCCTCTGATTTCCAATGCTCCCGCACATGTGAAGACCAGCTGGCCGGCCTGACGGAACCCAGAAGAACAACAGGCAACGGCTTGCATGCCCAGAGAGATGTCTTTGCATGCCACTTCTAGCACTTGTGCCTTAGGTTCACCATCATGGATATATGAACAACAAAACATGAAAATATTGGAATCCTATATTATTAGGCCTATTGAATCAAACCAACAAGCTATTTGGTCCCTAATCCTGCTAATCTCTTCTAATTGTTACCCTGCAATAATTGTATATTATTTCTAAAATCTTATTTTGGCAGACACATCCTTAATGAACTTATCAACACCTTCAAAAACCATTGTCATTCTCAAAGGCTGTTAAAAATATTGACAAACCATTCTTTATTAAAAAAGTCTCTGTCCTTGATAGAATCACAACAAAAACTGAAAGAAAATTATACTTTTATAAAATTATACAGCATATGTTACAACTGTGAAAAGTTTAAAGGATTGTCATACTTCACAGTCCTGTCCTAATAGTAAATAAAAGCTCCTTTATTACTCTGGTTCAGATTGTTTCAAATATCACGTTCTGCACATTCAGGAGCTGTTCAAATTTACTCTTCATATTCTACATACAATTAGAAATGTCTTCTTATTGCAGGACATGTTGAAGGTGCCCAGAAGGAAAACAGCATTACTGCACCTCATCAAGATGACTAAGAGTCCAATAGTCATTCTGACTGAGCTCTAAAGATGGGACAGAGTTCCAGAAAGACAACNCCTCCCCCTGAATTGTGAGCCGCCCTGAGTCCCCTCAGGGAAAAGGGCGGCATACAAATAAAGTATCTAAATCTAAATCCTTTAAAATACATTTGGAAGTCAAATTCTTGTTCATCCAGTTGACAGTAGAACTGGTAGGAAAGAAAGGAAGAAGTAAGTAAATTATCTGACTTGAGGAGGCTCAGAGAACACTCACTGACTGAAATATCTCCAGGGATGAGGTTGGGCAAGAGACACCCACTTCTGACTGCCGGCTGAGGCAGAGTTTGAGCCAATTATTGCTTAACAAGGCCAGACAAAAATTGTGATGCCCTGGAGCAGAAGAATTTGCTGCCAAATTGTTATGTGTCCCGAACTGGCAATTTGGTTCCCCAGGTTACATCCTGTCCTGAAGTGAAAGTCTCCGGGTGAGGAAAAGCAGAACCCCAGAGACCCTCTAAGGCAGCCTTTCCCCAAATCTGGCCTTCTGGAGAAGTGAGGGACAGCTGTCCTGGTCTGTCCCACCAGCATCCACCTTCCTGGGAGAAGCTGCTCTGAACCGGCCAACCCCCGCAGTGACTTTTCTGAAATGAAAACACGAATGGGCTTTTCCTTCCAGCGCAATCATGTTGTTGCCTGTTCACGCATAGCCTTTTCTCCACATATTTAATTAGTGAAAATCTAACAAGCGGCTGAGTGATGGGAACCTCACCTCTTTTGTCGGCACTCCTCTGCAGCCTGAAAGGCTGCCTACTTCTCAAAAGTGGCTGGCAGCCTTCTCCTGCTCTCTCTCTCTCTTGTTGGTAATTGGGTCACTGGGCCACCGCTTTTCCTAGGCCAGCTCTGGACAGTTTGTGCAAAAAGGATGCAGGCAGATAGAGAGCGGATTTGGCGTTGGCGACAGGGGAGCCTGATGGTTGTCTCGCAGCACCCCAAGAACCTCAGCCTTTACTTAGGCCATCCATTCTGAATCCCGGAGCCATTCCCCTCCCTCGCAGCCTCCCTGGCACACCAGGCAGCGCCTTTCGTGCTAGAAGTTCAGGTCTGAGGAGGGCTCCATTGCATGGACCAAGGCTGGAGCAAGATGGGGAGGGGAGTCCAAGCGCTGATGTTGTTCTCTGCTTTACCCTGTTCCCGCTTTCTCTTCTTGGGAAGCTTTAGATGTCTGGAACATGAACAGGTTGACCTTTTGGGCAGCAGAGGATACTGTCAAGGTGGGGTACTATTGGCAGTAAAATTGTCAGGCCCCAAGAATCAAGAAAAAACATATACAAAGTTACTTCCAAATAGTTTCATTTAGTATTTCTCCCCTGTCGATAGAAATCTACTTGGGAATGTTGTATTATTGGGATACATTGTGAGAATTTCTAGGGAGGAGCTGTCTTAGCCCGTTTCCTCCCAACCCATCTCAACTTTGCTGTCTCTTGGTCCCCTGAAATGCAGTCCCTCCCTGCTGGGAATCCAGACTCCATTGTACCACAAAAATCTAGGATTTGCTCCCCTAGATAAGCCCAGGTAGGACAACATTTAACTCGGGCTTGTTGAACAAGTTATGATTAAGGAAAGTTTTGTTCTGCAAAATGTATGCAGTCACTTCTAATGATAGCAGGGTTTGGATTCATCCTCGTGTGTTTTGTAGTGAGAGTAATAAACTACCCCCCTTTTCACAGTTGTTTATTCAATGAAGATGTAACACTTAACTGTTATGGGAAAAGACTGCTGTTCATAAACAGTTCAAACCATGATTTCTGAGTCTATAAACAATCATTAATTGTATCTGATTGTTGGATTAGTACTGAACCTGGTTAAAAGCCTAATGGGGAATGTTTATCTTGGAAGTATTTTATGACAGATGACCATATAGTATTGTTCTAGTTATAATTCTCCTGTGTGCTAATGTTTATGTAGTAATAATTTTTGCTTGAATAAGTTTTCCTGTAATATATGCTCATTTGGAAAATCAATTTGTACAGCAGACTATAAATAACTTAATTGATTCAGCAACAGGATCGTGTTGCCAAATGTTTATACACTGTATTGTCTAAGTCTGGATCTCTAACAGATAACACTTCATCATGTTTATGTTCCTCCTCTGTTGATACCGTTCTCCCTCAATTCTGTGAATGAGCTCCAGTGGTATCAGAGTTGGAAAAGTAAAGCAGAAAGCATCCTGGAGAGATCCGAGTCCTCATTGGTTTATCTGCATATGCCAGGCAGCAGCTGGGGAATCAGAACACTGGACCACCCTTGGCTGCAACTGGAAAGATTTGGCAGGGCCCTAAGTCAGCTGCATTTCTTGTGGGAGAAAGGGATACCCAGGTCGACTCACTCACTCACCAAGGAGAGGGGAAGAGTGACTTTAGCTGTCACCCGGCTGGTTTGCTTGGTCCACACAACCAGTAGGGGCCAAAATAGTGTTGCTTAGACCAGGTAGCAATTGTGTCAGCAATACAATCTCAAGGTTGGGAAAAGAACAGCCCCAAGCCTGCTGACTCAAAAAAGCAGGAGGAAGAGGTTTAAGATTTAAACCTCTGGACTTAAATAATCTTAAACTATAGGGCTTGGTTTCTGCGTTGTGTATCGGGCAGATTGTTTGCACCAAATCAACTGATCTAGCAATAGCCACTTCTTGAAGTCTCTGCTGCATTGTAGCTAGGGGTTATGAAATCTGATACAGCTAACCATATAGCTGCTTTTAAGGACATTAGGAGATTCTTTGAAATCCAGGACCACTGGACACCTCCTATCCTGGCCATACATTTTGTAAAGCATATTCCCCATGAAACATCCATGCTTCCAACTGAAGGGCTCTATGCGCTTCCTTGCATCCAGAAAGGATGTTTTATGTTCTGTTCATTCCTCTGCTTGCTGATGATGTTCTGGAGGAAGTCGGAAGAGGTTGGTAGTGGATGGCTTGCCCTGGCCATTTGGACAAGACTAGAAAACAGCTTGGTAATTTTTTAACTTCTGCTTTTTGATCTGTGATTTATTTTCTGGGTGAAGGAGATCCTAATTCCATCCTCTCTTCAGATTCTGTTGAAATGGGCAGCTCTGGGACATTTGAGTCTCAGCAGAAGAGGGCTTGGGTTTCCTGCAGCCAGACCTTGCTTCTTTCTCACTCAGTGTCCCTGCTTCATCTGTGGTTCTTCAGGGGGAAAGGAGGCACCTGCTTATGAGCTGCAACCTAGCCTTTTATACAAGAATAAAAGCTAGGATTGTGCAGAGGGAGGAAAGGAGGGACGCAAGAAATTAGCAGTTGAGAAACTCTTGATGGCTTATCTCATCATTGGCAGCTTAGTTCAGATAGGAGGAAACCTGGGAAGGACTGTTTCAAAGCATTCGATGAACTCCACCTTAAATAAATGAGGGCAGGGGCAGAAACCTTTTGTGGTTTCCAAGACCTTGCCTTTACCCCAATCTAACATTAAATAGACCTTTCTAAAATCCGAATAATTCTTGCTTCTTTGAGCTTGATCAGTTGGGTGGGCTTGGTAGCGTTTGTATATTGTAATGCATCACATTTTCTCCTCTTCCAGCTGATAACTCTCTCTTGTTTTGTTGCATTTTGTGAAGAAAATTGCCCCAAAGAGTCCCATCACATGAATCCATCTAATTTTCCCCTTTGGAAAAAAAATATCACCCAACACAAACCATCTGCCTCACAACCTCAGGAGTCATCAGGGCATGGTGGGGCCTCCTCTGCTACTAGAACATGGGCTGTTCAGGTGGGTATCGATCTGAAGACCTCATGGACCTGTTTTTGTCTTTCAGATCTCTGACATCTACATCAGCGGAGAGTCTGGGGACATGTCTGCTAAAGAAAAGCTGCTTTTGTGGTCACAGAAAGTAACGGCTGTTTACGTGGGACTCAAGTGCACCAACTTCTCTTCCTGTTGGAGTGACGGGAAGATGTTCAATGCTGTCATCCATAGATATCGGTAAGTAGAAGCCCTCTCCTCCATCTCAACCATGTCAGGAAAATTTGTCCAAAATAGGCAACTCTTCTAATGCTGGAATGAGCCTTATTTGTATTTTGCACCTGGATATTTAAACTGTCCAGACTGTCACTGATGTCCCAAACAAAATCCAATGTTCTTCTTTGCCACTTTTTCTGAATAACCAGTTTTATTGAATTCAACCTTTTGTTGAATTTTATTTTTTTCAACCTTTATTGAAATATTTTTTGTATGCAACCAGAAACAGTCTGGAAGCATATTTTGCAGACTAACACACTAAAAGGCTGCCAGCTCACACACTTTTTTTTTTGCTGCCATAGACTTAACCTGGTTCTGCGTAGAGGCCATAAAGAATTTGGGATCAATTACTACAGCTACACCCCAGGGTACTACTGAAGGGTCGTTGAGGGGCTTTCTTCTGTAGTGACACCAGAACTTTGGGTGCTTCCCCACCTCTTCACCCCACCAATTCACAAAGATTTTCTTGTAAAAAGACCTTCCTTGTTAGTGAAGGATGCCATCAGCACACTGGCCTTCTCAGTATGCTCTCCTCAGAAGTTAACCATTGACAGGCATCCCTTCGCAAATCATCTACATTCACAGAGGTGTCCCCATGTGGGAAGAGGCTGTTCATTGTCTCCTTTAGCAGATGTGTACCACTTGTTTGCAAATGCTGAGTCGTCATAGTTTGGCTTCTCTGTTTCCTCCAGACCAGATCTTGTGGACATGGAGAGAGTTTATATTCAAAGCAACCGAGAGAACCTGGAGCAGGCCTTTGAGATTGCTGAACGGCTTGGTGTCACCAGGTTGCTGGATGCAGAAGGTGATTGAGGGAACATTGGCGGGAGGTTGCATTTGATGGAGATAAGTTGAAAAAGTTGGGCTCTGGAAGGCAAGAGAGTTTAGATGTTGAAGTGACCAAACCAACTAGGTTTACAATACTGGCAGCATGTTTCCAAGTCAGGTAGATTCCTCCTTCACTTCTCAGCATTCTGAGGTTGCTTGAGAAGTTTAATCAGAGGTCACAGGGCTTTCCAGGGTCTCCCCCACAGCCTGAGATGCCCCCGTGTGGTTGCTTAACAACTGCAGTGGGGGAAGAAGCTAGGATTGTAATTGTTGAGTGAGATGATCATGTGGGTACCTTGCATAACAAAACAATGACTTATGATCCAAATTGTTGGCTTAATTGTGATCATATGTTGATGACTGGTTATATTATTATTATCTAGCATTACTGATTTCCAAAGCACTTTTAAGAATTTGCTTCCATTTAAAAAGTCAACATTGCCCCAAGATGCATGAAGGCCTCCAGGCTTTCTGGAGGCACTTAATGGATTAAGATAGATCTGCATTGATTCCTGTAGAATCTGAGCCTTACATTTAGTTCCTGTCTGAACAATGCACCATACAGCTTCTTATGAACTATGCAACTTGAGATTGTAGATGTTAAGAACTCTGTTCTTAATTACTTTGCTGAAGAAGGAGAGAGAAGGTCATTCATTGTATGTAAAAAACCACCACTTTAGGGCAGAAGTGTTCAAGAGAAAATAATATCTTCCTGGTTCATAAGAGACTTTATATTCCATGGTGGATCGCACCACAATCTTGATTCCTCTACATGAAATGTGAAGTAATGCTATTGTGAAAATGTCAGTTGGTCTTACCTGAACTGCATGTCTCGAAGTTGGCATGGGAGTAGTCACACATGGGTATTAACACAGCCCTTTTGCCCTGGAGACTGAGGTAAATCTTGAGGCCACACCTCCATTCCTCCTCTGACCTCCCNGCACAGTATATATGTGACTGTATGAAAATGAAAAATGGAAAATAAAAACATTTTAACGAAATGCATGCACATGTGTGCCCACACATAAAAAGACCCCGTCGGTTTTGGCGACTAGAAAGGAAATGCCCATTATGCCAGGGGTGTGCCAGAGCCAAATGCTGAGGGCAAGCGGCACAAGGCAAGCGTGGCCAGGGAGAAATGAGGGGTAGGGGGAGGAGAAAGACAAGCTTCTGCTAGGGAGACAGGAAAGCGAGCCAGGTCGTCTCAGCAAGCACCGCTTTTCCTCTCAGCCACCTCTCAAGGTTGGTTGGGTTGGACCCGCGACTACTCTCGCCCACCCTGCTTCTCCTCACAGCTGACACCATGTTTTGTGGGAATGAAAGCGAGGATGCAGAGAGAACAGGGAGAGGAACAAGTAGGTCCCGAGTGAACGGACGAACGCCCTACATACCTGCATTTTCCCCTCAACGCAGCCATGCCCTTTGCTTGCCCAACCACACTTCGGCCTGCCTGCTCCTCCTGCAGCAGTGAGAAAGCGGCATGGGAGGTTTGGCTTGATGGCCCATTGTCTGGGAAGGGGGAGAAAGGAGGTAGAAGCATTGATCAGGAAAACGTCTCCTTTGGCTGCTTTCAGGGCAGTCGCGGGTCCAACCCACCCAACCTTGAGAGGCGGCTGAGAGGAAGAGTGGCGCTCGCTGAGGCGACCTCGTTCATTTTCCCATCTCGCTAGCAGAAGCTTGGCCTTCTCCTTCTCCTTCTCCTCCCCCTCCCCCACCCCCACCCCCTCATTTAAAATGTCAGAACATTATTCTTTATTACTTTTCAGCTTCTGAAATGTAAACCACAACATGGATTTTACTTTCCTTAAAGAAATTGACCATTTTACTTTCTTCAAATGATTATGGTTATGAAATAAATATGCAATACTTGCTGCTTTGAAAAACTTTTCTGATAATTGACATTTGGACCCAAAACTTTTAGGCTGGAGTGTCATGTTCTCTTTTGTTTGAGAATCAAAATAAGGGTTCTCAATGAGACAATTAATAAAAACCCATATGTGGTTTAGGACTTTCTGCTCCTATGATCAGCACTCTTTTCACAGAAAGAAGAAAGAGATGTCAAATAATCTGGGGCAAATAATTCCAATGTACATATCAGGAATGTCACCACTGTTATATTCAAGTATTTTATTGATTGATTGATTGATTGATTGATTACATTTTTATCTTACTATTTTTTGTGTCATATACAACTCAAGACAGTGAATATGACAACATTCCTCCCTCCTATTATTTTCCCCACAACAACCACCTTGTGAGGTAAATTGAGCTGAGAGTGTGTGACCGGCCCAAGGTCACCCAGCTGGCTTCCATGGCTTAGGCGGGACTAGAATGTCAGTTGGTCTTACCTGAACTGCATGTTTCAAAGTTGGCGTGGGAGTAGTCACACATGCGTATTAACACAGCCCTTTTGCCCTGGAGACTGAGGTAAATCTTGAGGCCACACCTCCATTCCTCTTTCTGACCTCCCAGATTAACCGATGGTTCGTAGCAGAGCACCTGGAAGGAAGGGACAGAGACAGCACATGCACACATCCTTCCTGACTGGCCCTGCCTGACCACTGAACTAACTCAGGCCCCTGGCGCAGTGCGCCCTAAAACGGGGGGGAAGTGACTACTCCCATGCCAAATTCGAAACATGCAGTTCAGGTAAGACCAGCTGACAGTTTCTGAAGTGGGGCGTGGGAGGAGTCACACATGGGACATACCAAAGCTAGATGTCCTTGGGAGGGATCAATGGGCCTGAGCCCCTCGAGAGTCTAAGACTCCCTGAAGAACCCTCCTCCCAAAGGCCGCTTCCACAGAGGCGTAAGCGTCTAGCCGGTAATGCCTGATGAAAGGCGAGGGAGAGGACCAGGCGGCAGCCCTGCAGATTTCTTCTATGGGAGCCTGGGTGGCCCAGGCCGCTGAGGTGGCCGCACTTCTGGTGGAGTGCGCTGTGATGCCCTCTGGGATCTGAAGTCCCCGTGCCTCGTAGGCCCTTGAAATGGCCTCTCTGATCCACCTGCTAATGGTGGCCGGGGAAACCTTGGCTCCCTGGGTAGATGCCTGAAAGGAAATGAAGAGGGACTCTGAACTCCTGAAGGGCGCCATGCGCTTTAAATAGATGCGCAGGGCTCTTCTGACATCCAGCCGGTGCCATGATCTTTCCCTATCCCTAGAGGGCTGCGGACAGAAGTCTGGCAGAACTATCTCTAATGCCCTGTGAAAGGGGGAGTTGACCTTGGGCATGAATGTGGGGTCCAGCCTGAGGACGAGCCAGTTCTCCTGAAAGGTGCAGAGATCTGCTCTGCTGGAAAGAGCGTTGAGCTCAGATACTCTCCTGGCTGAAGTGACGGCAACCAGGAAGACGACCTTAAGGGTCAGAAATTGTAGGGAAACCTATCTCAAGGGTTCAAAAGGTGCCTCTGTCAGTGCCTGGAGGACCGTGGGCAGGTCTCAGGTCGGGAATCGATGGATCACTGGGGGTTTCAGATTCGCAGCTCCCTTGAGGAAGCGCCTTAGGACCAGGTGCTGAGACAAAGGCGGGGAATCCCCCCCCCAGGACTGTGGAGAGGGCAGAGACTTGTCTCCTAAGGGTGCTGGGGGCCAGACCTTTCTCCAGACCTTCCTGTAGGAAGTCCAGAACCTGGTGTACAGAAGCCGCAGCTGGAACGATGTCCCTAGCTTGGCACCAGTCCGCAAAAGCGACCCAGGAGGCATTGTAGATGCGAGTGGTGGACTGCCTCCTGGATGCCTTGATGGTCTTGATGACCTTTGTGGAGAAATGGGCCTCTCTTAGTTGATCCCGCTCAATCGCCAGGCGGTCAGATGGAGCCACTCCGGGTCCGGATGCTCCAGAGATCCCTGGTGCAGAGACAGGGGAATCCTCCAGTGAGGAGCTGAGGACAGCTCCACCAGGTCTGTTCACATGGGCCTTGGCTGCCACGTTGTCCTTCAGGACCAGGACATGATGACCGGTCACCGTGGTCTTGAAATGACGTAGCGCCAGATGGATGGCCCTGAGTTCCAACCAGTTTATGTTGTTGCATAGGTCTGTTGGAGTCCAGCGGCCCTGGGCTATCTGGGCTTCCAGGTGTACTCCCCAGCCGAACAGGCTTGTGTCTGTTGTGAGTACCTTTCTCGCTGGTTCCTTGAAGAGTGATCCCCTGTCTAATGCTGGGGTCAGCCACCAACGGAGCGAGAGCAGCACCTGGGGTGACACTCGAACCTTGAAGCTGGCGTCGCTCTTCCGGGCTCTCTGGTAAGGGAGCAGGAACCACTGGAGTTCCCTGGCGTGTAGACGCACCCAAGGCACGATTCCTATACAATAAATGAATTTCCCAAGGAGCCTGGAAAGGAGAACTACAGGGACAGAGCGTAATTTGCGTATTTCATGAACCAGCTGTACGATACTGTCCCTACGTTCCTGGGACAGGAAGACCTCCCCAGCCACCAAATCTATAATGGACCCTAGGTGTTGGAGTCTGGTAGATGGGACTAGGTGGCTCTTCTCGAGATTGATCGAGAATCCCAGGGACCTGAGCGTGTCGATGGTGAGGCCCAGGTCCTGCCTGGCAGTGTCTGGGGACCTGGCTAGGACAAGGATGTCATCCAGGTAGCAATGGAGTCGGACTGGGAAGGCACGAAGGTGGCCCGTGGCTGCGGCCAGCACCTTGGTAAATGTCCTGGGGGCCGAGGCCAGCCCAAAGGGCAGGACTCTATATTGGAAATGACTGCCTTCGTGGGAAAATCTAAGGAATCTGCGATGTTCAGGAGCGATTCTGATGTGAAGATAGGCCTTCGTAAGGTCGATGGAGGCCAGGAAATCGCCCTGTCAGATGCTATCTAAGATGGATTTCATAGAAGCCATCTTGAATCTATGGTAGACTACCCTGGAGTTGAGAAGTTTTAGATCCAGGATGGCTCTCCACCCCCCTGAGCTCTTGGAGACCAGGAATAGGTTCGAATAGAATCCAGAACCCCTCTCCCCCTCTA